AGCCCCACGTAGAACGTGTTACAGAAATCTAATCGGGAAGTTACCAGCGTATGTGTCACTGTCGCCAGGCAGTCGTTCTCCAGGAAGGGATGCAGCTGATGTATCAGCCAAAGCTGAAGGAAGGCGCTTCTCGCCACCGCCGTCACCTGAGCTTCTAGAGACAGCTCAGGGTCGAGGAGCACTCCCAAGCTGTGAACCCTGTCCCTTAGAGGGAGTGCAACCCCATTTAGGACAAGGCCCAAGTCCCCCATCCCGAGGCCCAAGCCACCCACCAACAGGACCTCCATCTTGTCTGGATTGAGCTTCAGTTCATTGGCCCTCATCCAGCCCATTACCTCAGCCAGGCACCAGTTCAGCACAGCCACTGCCTCACCTGGATTGGTGGAAAATGAGAGGTAATGCTGGGTATCATCAGCATGATTCGCAACCCACACCTCCTGATGACCTCTCCCAGCAGTTTCATGTAGATGTTAAATAGCAAAGGGGACAAAATGGACCCCTGCGGAACTCCATGGCATAACTTATCAGACTACTTTCCCTCCATAGGGAATACTATGTTTTTTTTTCTTTTATTTTACTAATGATAGTAATAAAGGTGTTCATAACATTATATAACCACTTTAACAGCAGTGTAATCCTCTAAATGTCTGCACAGAAGAAAGCCCTATTAAGTTCAGTGGCAGCAGCCTAGTATTGCAATTTGAAACAATGGTCCTACTCTAAAATACGTACCATTGTGTTTATTTTTTCACACTTCCATTTTGTCATTTTCACACTTCCATTTGTCACACTTCCCCATGGTGGCTTCCAAGTATTTTATAATACACTTTCCCTCACTCTTAACCATTAGCATGTTGGTTATTGTTGTTGGAAACTGTGGTCTGATAGCATCTGGGGGGCACAAGGTTGGGCAAGGTCGGTGAAACTTCCTGGTAAATCTGGAGGTTATAACAATTAGTGTAAGTATGCTGCATTTATGGAACGCCTACCAGTGAAATCTAATCCTGTGCATATTATTATCACTTTTATTTTTATACAACCTAATAGCCAAATCTCTATATTATAAATGAAATATAAAATATAAATAACAGTTAAATTCATAAAATTGCACTAAAATAAAAACAGATTTTTTACATTTAAACAACCAAGACAAGCCTATACTGCTGAACCTGCTAAAAACCATCTCTTCTCATCCCTATGTGCTATTTGGAGCTGGGAATGCCTTGGTGAAGTGGGCAGTCTTCAGCTGGCACAGAAAAGACTTTTATAGTAAAACTGGTGACAGGTGGGCCTTGGTGGGGAGTTCATTGCATAATTTGGGGGCTACCACAGAGGAGTTCTCCTTTTCACCACTAGCTGAGCTTCTCTTGGAGGTGGTTCTCAGAGGTATTTTCTTCAGATCTTGAGCAGAGTGTCTGGGTGCAGTTGGAGAAGGTATTCTGCCAAGAATTGTAGTCCTAAAACATGCAGATCTTTATAGATTAGGCCCAGCCCAGCACTTAAACTGAGTTTGGAATCATGTACGCCACAGTGGATATAGCTTGTCTTAACTTAGGTTGTAGCCATGAGGTTAGATGCACCAAAATACTTGCTGCTTTCATTGATAATGCTCCAATCTTACACTGCCTTTATATTTTTTTTCATGTTCCTATTTAATTGTGCTCAACTTGAGATTTCACCGGAGCCCATATTAAATTTTATGTTGCCTCTTATTTCAATATTATGACATGAGTTCACAAAAAGCAAAGCAAATTAAGAAACAAAATATGCAATACTGTCCAACACTAGATTAAAAGAAAAATTTCTTGAAAACAACAAATCCTTCAGTGCAGTGGGAGAAAATTGCCCATTAACTTGTTTTCAGATACTTGACAATCAACAACCTCACAGAGCAAAGGGTTCTCTGTTTCTTTTTGAAATAGAAAATAGTCTGTGTTTTACGTTGCATTTTTTTCAGTGGCTAATTTGATTTGGAACCAAAGCTCAGACTTGTTCTAGGGCCAAAACAAGTGTAAAAGTAAGCATGCTACCAGCCCACATGTGCTTGGATTTCATTGATTAAAGGGCAGTCATGGCATATGTGTGTGTGTGTGTGTGTGTGTGTGTGTGTGTGAGAGAGAGAGAGAGAGAGAGAGAGAGAGGGGGAGGGAGGGGGAGGGAGAGAGAGAGAGAGAGAGAGAGAGAGAGAGAGAGGAATCCAGATCAGAATCCATGGTGTTCTGGTAAGGAAAAAATAATCAATTTTTCCTGCTGTGTTGATCCTGAAATTGAACCCACCCTTCCCCTTTGGCTAATGACCCTGGGAGGAATCTTGGCAATGTGCAAGTAATGCACAGGGGCACATGCTGATGACCACTTCATAGGAAAATCATACTGCACATGTTCAAAAATGCTCTTGTTCCCTTTCCATGGCCTGTCACTGAACACTGGTCCATTGTAGGTCAGAGTTCAGATACAAATTGCACCTTGTGGGGTTAATTTTAAAGGAAATGCAAATAAGGGCTTAATTTTTATGCTTCTGGGCACAATTCCTTGCCAAGAAATAATCTGGGCCACCACTTAGCACTCAAGTTATTTGCATGTACTGAAACTGAGCTATAGGAGTGAAAAACAGCAGCAAAATCAACTGAGTGGTAAAGATTGGTGGATGTAGGAGTCTTTCCCCTACAACAGGGCCCATGTATTCTTGCAGAGAAAGAATTTCCCAAGTGCCCTTGGGTCTCCTTCTCTCCTAGTCCTCTTGCTCTCCCTCAAGAGGCTCTCCCTGCCCCCTTGCCTTCCCAATCCAAGGCACTGCTGAGAAAGCAAATCAGTTCCTGGCCCTTATCTATCATGAAGGCACAGAGAGGAGGAGAGGCCAGCTCTTCAAGGCACCAGCCCTGTGCTGCAGCCCCCCACCCCCTGCCCCCAAGGGCCGTGAGGGAAATAGGGCACATTCTGAAAACAGCACATGCAAGCAAGGTTGAGGCTTGTCTTTTTTTCGGCGTGGTGGCATAGCTGGGCCTCCCCAGCCATGGGTCACCATGTCTCCATGCTGTTTGGAGTTCCATTATTCCTGTGAGCGAGGCAGCCATCACGTGTCAGCCAGAACTCATCTGTCGTTACAAGCAGCTGGAAAGCAAGGGCATCTGATCGTGTACCTTTATCTTTCACCTCCTCATGTCCTGCAGGGTGCAGGGCTGGTTTGCATCCCTCATGAGAAACAGAGGTTAGGTGTTTGGGTTCTCATTCTGGCGCACAGGGAAGATCCACTTGGTCTTTGCTGTACTGCAAGGATGTCTCTGAGAAGGTCAAGGTTTATGTACCCAGGACACTATACACAAGTTCAAACCAGTGCTTGGGCAAAGGTGTATTCCCTTTTACACAGCTGCTTTCCCTGCCTGCATCATGAAAAGGTGAAAGTCCCCAACTGGTTTTGGTGAATAGGAGACAGACGTGTGAATTGAATCCCACTGGGAAGAGATTGCATTTGAGATTATAGCAGGTGGGTGGCTGACAGGAAATTTCTGCCATTCATACTTTCAAGTCATCACTTGGTGTTTAACTGTTTGATTTCTATCCTGTCCTTCTTTCCAGAAGGACCTCAAGGACATACATACAGCTATGCCGTATACATGCGTATTTCTCCCTCAACTGTGATGGGAGGACCCACATGACCAGGTTTCAGTGGAACATCCCCAGTTCAGCCTTAAAGCACATGCTTTGAGGGCAGAGGGCCCCAAGTTCAATCCTCCATACCTTCAAGTATTTCTGGGCAGGAGCAGTACTAGATGCTGGTGATTCAGGGCTCAGGTCCACAGAGGGTTAAAAAAAAAAAAAAGCTGAAATGTGTTAATTTACATATGCCCTAAAGAGTGTAAAGGTCCCTGTTTCCAAGTCTTGGGATCCACTGCGGTGATGGGGAGGTCAGCTTTCTAGACATGCTGGAAGGGGAAGATGCATGTGAGAAAGCCACTCTCTGAGAGTGGCTTTCTCACACGTGTTTCCCCCTCCTACCACGACCACCTCTTTGCAGGGGAGGGGGGTGCGATTCCTGTGGCAGTGGGCTCCTTATCCACTGCAGTTTTTATTCTGTTCCGTAGGAGCTATCCATGATCTTCCATAGAGGAGCCCACGTGGAGAATGCAATTCAGCACCCTGGAGAGCTCCCAAGGAGCGCAGAATCGAGACAGAAATGGATAAGGAGCCCCACGGACCGGGCCCCGCGTCTTCCCCTGCCCTTCCGGGCAGAATCTGAGCCCGGGACGGGCCTCGATGCCGAGCGGCGTTCTCGGTCCTCCTCGGGGCGTCGCTTGTGGCGCGGCGGAACCTGAAGCGCGCGCCGGAGGGAGGGCGAGAAAAGGAGGTGTCTGCAGGCGCCTCCTCCCAGCCGCCCACCAGGCTGCCATCATTGGCCCCAGCCCGCCTCCTCCTCCAACCTGTCGCCTTCTCGGCCTCTTTTGAGGCTGGTTGTGAGGAGGAGCCTGCCTGAAGCTTCCGCGGCGCCGGCAGCAGCAGCCACCAGCAGCTGCTGCTCCTGGTGACGGCGTCGAGGCTTGGAGATCGAGCCTGAAGTGGAGGGAGGGAAGAGCGAGAGCGAGACGGGCGCGCCTCTTTCGCTTCCCTTCCCCGCCACGGGAGCAATTCCAGCTCTCGCCTCGCCATTGTCTCCAACAGGTTCTGGCCGAGGGAGCTCCCGGCTCCCCTGCTAATTTTGGTACCATTCCGGGCCGTCCGCAGGAGCGGGGAAGCTTCGGGGCTGTGCGCTCCAGGCGGCTGCGGACTCGCTGTGAGGCGTCGGGGAGGATGCTGCGGGCTTTCGCGGAGCCAGCTTCTTTCCACAGGATCCTCGCCCTGGGGAGCCTGGCTTTTTGTTGACGGGAAAAAAGAGCAAGGACAACAAGAAGAGGCAGAAACAGAGGCAAAGGCGGGCTTGGGTGGTTTTGGAGAGCCCCGCTTTGACTCGGAATTTGACGCCAAGGAGGACGATGGACTGATTCCCGGGCGTCCCCTTCTGCGCTATGGAGTCCCCGCCGGTCTCTCTGAGAACCCTCTGCTTACTCTGCTGCCTGAGCTCAGGTAAGAATCTGGGACGCGGAAGCCGCCTTCGGCGCCCCCGCAGCATGTCCCCAACCCCTTCCCAGCCCTGCCTTTCCTTCCAAGGGAGTCCCGAGCCAGGGATGGCACCTCGAAACCATGGGTCGCTCCGGGGACGGGAGAAGCGCAGCGCCGGGAAACGAGAACTTTGCGAAGGGGCTGGAAGTGGGTCACGTCCATCGGGCTGGCGCGGGCGCGGCGGATCGCAGGAGGCACCTGCGCCGGGGGCAGCTGGAGGGGAAGAAGAGACGGGGAGGGGGCAAAAGAGCGGTGGGGCGAGGGGGAAGTTCCCTCCGGTCCGTGCTCATTCTGCTTCTCCCCTCTCCCACTTCTTTTTTGGGTCAAGTTTTCGGCTTTGGAGTGGACCCATCCTTGCAAATCGACGTGCTGAGCGAGTTGCAGCTGGGGGGTTCCGTGGCCGGAGTGCTGCAAGTCCCCGGACTGCACAACGGGAGCAAAGCCTTCTTCTTCCAAGGTACGGAATGTGCATCCTTCCGTGCGTTCTTGCGCTTGTGCGCAGGAAAGGCTGGGTCGCTGGGGAGGGTCAGCCGAGTGCACCTGAATAATTTCTGAGCTCGCTGGGCAAGCACGTTTGATGGAACTTTTTGCATTAGCTTGATGGCAGGCATGATTCCTCTGGGTTCATGATGCGAGACGGTCCATTTGCTCAGCAAGTCTTCTCCCACTCTTTTAAGCATCACTGACTCTCCCCCCCCCCCCTTTATCTCTCCATTCACTTTTCTGGCCCTTCCTTTGATGGATAGGACCTTAATTAATGGTCAGCGGGAAAGCTGGTGGCAGATGGCTTATTTTGTCAGACTAGGGGAGCCCAGAATAATAAACAGCCGTCTGGACAGAATGAGCTCTTCTTCAAGCTATTGCTTAGAGGAGGAAATGGACTAGAGGAAACTCTGAAATTAAGAGCTCAAAGGAAGTGGAAATGGGGATAAAATACAGCATTTCAAACACATACACATACGGGAGTGTTTCCAGAAATGAAACAGAAGTCAGTGCAAATAGATTTGTGAATTGCCTTCTTCATCTTCATTAAATAAATTCCTGCTTTTTCAAAATGAAACAAGCATTTTTTCTACATTCTAAGTAATTTTTTATTCATAAGGTGTTAGGTATGAAACAGTAACATCTCTTTTATATATACAGATGAAATCTTTTCAGCTGGTTGTTTATTATTAATATTATCAAAGAGAGATTTTAAAAGAGGTGTGTGTCTCATATTGACATTTCAAGAAGGCTTGAAAGCATTTTAAAGTTGAAGAATTCTCACTTTATGTGTAAGTGCCAAATGTAAATACATTAAGAGAGTTCCGACAGGGGATTTGCTTGAGCCCTGATTTGCCTGCTGTGTTAGGAGTTTTGGATATGATTGAATATTTTCTTTTCTAATTCAAGAGGAAAAGAGCATGACCTTGAAAAGGAGCTGAAATTTAAATGTTGTTTAGTTGTTTATTTTTCAAAGGTGCTAGTTTTAAGTTCTGAATCAGTAGGATAATGTTTCCAAAGCCATGTTTCAAGACATAGACATTGAAGGTTTCTGTTGAAAAGTGTTATTCTATGGTCCAGCCACAGTGTGTCAGTATGATCTTTACCACAGAAAACTCTGGGTATTTAAATAGAGAAATTGACACATACTATTTTTAAACGGAAAAGGCCTCATTACCACGGGATGTAGACATCTACATGAATGGGCACTTGACAGAAAGAACATCTGAAATGCCAATTTTGGAACAGTTCAGAACTACACGATGTGCAATAGATAGTCCCTCCCCACTGCAAAGAGGTCTATTCTGGAAAAGTAGCTGCTTTGGAAATTTAAAGTTTGAACTGTTTTTTTTCCACTCTACTCTCATTTGTACTAAATCTGGAGGCTTAGACTGAACACAAACCTCTTTCTTTTCAGAAAAAATAGGATACTCAATTTAAGAATACATTTTCCATTACAAATCTTTTCATTTTCTATGAACTAATATACGGCTTGTAAATTGATACAATTCACCTTGGAGGAAACCTAAACAAATACAACAGGACTGTATATATTGCCTCCGTGCCTCCTCTTGTGGTTTCTTGAGAGTTTTCTCATACTTGAGAATAAACAGAGAATGCTACATTGCTTTCTTACCTTTAAGATGAAATTTCCTCCTGTTCTTCTGTCCGGTATGTAGGATGTTCATTAATGTACCATTGCAGCTTGTCAGAAGTATTCCTTACATATGGAAAAATACGTTTGCTTTCCTTTAAGGTTCCATTTTAACTGATTGTCAAACCTACATAGTTACTTAGAGATCTATGTAGGATAACAGTATTTTCAGCTCTATGAAAATAGGACCTTCCCATACAAAGAGATGCAGTGGCTATTAAAGGAATAAATAAGCATGCATGTATAAAATTGTTTTGCCTAATTTTGGAATAATTTCTTTGTTCCTCCCATAGAAGAGAGAAGACCTGTATAGAAGACAAAATAGCAGATAGATTAATTTTATCTAGTCAAGAATATTATCATGTTTCCATTTGTGAAAGAAGTGGTATTATAAAAATGAAATAATAATAGAGTATAGAAACTGGAGAAATCACAAAGCAATAGTCCTTGGACCTTCTATATGATCAATTTCTCTTAGAAATCCTTCCATTCCTTATATCTTTAGAATTACCCAGGCACAAGTGACTTGGCCACTGTTCATGGATTTCATGGCTGGATTAGGGTTAGGGATTTCTTGTGGGGTAATCCCAACCTACTGGATCACTGTGTGAATATTGGAACCACATGGAGATGGCTGTTGGGGTATGTCTCAGAGGTCTCATTGGGAGGCTGCACGAGGATGGCATGAGTCTTTTGCACAAATCAGCTCTGCCTAAGGGGTTGTGATATTCCCACAAAAGCCCTAGGAATATGAGGCCACCCCATGGAGAAATAGTTCCTGATTTGGTGTGTACGTGTATCTTCACTGTCAAGTGAATCTTTTCAAGAATGATGTACAGTAGGAAGGTATCTCTTAGGTCACTTATGTTAAGTGTGCATCTATTTTAGCTGTGACCTATAGAAGTGCATGGATGAAGACATAATCCCAGGTGTAGACTTCTTTGGAATAATCTTAACCAGAGGTGGCTTAAGTTAGAGGGTGCCCTGAGCTCTGAGAAGAGTCTTCTTGGATGAGCAAACAAGATTAGAGCTCCTGGTGATTAAGCAGCTTCATTTATGCATGAAGCTTGTGTGAATTCCTGCTCAGGGGTAACCTGCTAGGTACCTAGCACCAGGCAGTGCTACTGTACCCTCAAGACTTTACCTTCAAGGCTTTTCTGTGTGCTTCTGAAAATATCTCCTCTTATTTTAATTATTATAATTATCATCATTGTTATGGTTTGTGGTTTGCATAAGCATGTGCGTGAAAGGTTTGGGTCTGCATGTTTTTGCAAAGTGGTCCTGCTGGCTTCTTGAAGAATATGCTTATCATATACTTATACAAATGTATATGCATATGTGAAAGGATGCCCATAGTTCCTCCTGAACAATATGTTTCTTGCTTTTTACAAGATATGCATAATCATTGCTTTTTACAAGATAGTACAAGATATATGGAATTTTGTACTTTCTTCCTTCTGAGTAGGCCTATGATTCCTTCTGTGGCTGTGCGATTTTCCCAAGCAGTTGTCTATTTTGTGCCTCAGCTTTCTCTGTCAGCAATATGGGTTTCTGACTGTTTCCAGCCTGGTGTTGTCCAGATGTGTAATATTACAGCATCCTCATGTTGGGAGCATCTCCAAGTTGGGAGTGACTGCTTTTGGGCAATCTCCACCAACATCCAATATTGAAAGAAAAAATAATTGTGACCGGCTGCTCCTCTCCCATCTCCACCACTTCCAAAGCTTAATTTTAAAAGAGAAATAACTGCCATAGCATGCAGACATTCTTGCTTTGTTTTCCCATTGCATCTTCCATTACCAAGCATAACATTAGCTAGGTGCAGAGGCTTTTGGTCTCTCGCACAAGTGCAGGATCCCAAATTTGCTTTAAGATGTGGCTGGCTGCTAGATTGCCCTGAAGAAAATATCACATGCCCTCAGAGACAGCTCTACCAGCATTCTGCCTGACTTGCTCAGAAGGCAACAAAATAAGGTATAGGATAGACATTTCCCCTGTCAAACATACACAGAGAAAGAGAGAGCATATTAAGTCTAAGAGGTAGGTCTGGGGGTTGTTTTCCGTGTGAATGATTTGGCTGTGTAGGAATTGGGTGTGTATGAGACACTGAGAATACATGAATAACTGTCTGTGTGAAGGCAAGACAGTGAGCAAGACTGAGAATGCTTGAGAAACTTTGTGAATGGCTGTGTGTGAATTGCAATATGTTGCTGCGTTCTAATGTCCATCATCATTTTTGTTGGCATTGCACTGGTTAAATGCAATGCGTGGATTTTGGAGAATGTTTGTAGAACTTGTTGGCCATGTTTCTACCTGAATAATTCAATTCTTCTTATATAAATATAAGAACAAATATAAATGTTTAATTTCTGTGCCATGTATGTGGCATATATAGAGACAGAAAATAGGAATCATTCTATCTTGTTAGAATATTTAGTATTTTGGTGTATAAGCAACAGTCAATTTTTTCAGCAAGCAAAAACTAACATGCATATACAAAAACAGCCTGAGTGGAATTATGTGGTTGTGACAGGTCACAAAAGCGAGAATTTAATCTGCTGGCATGATGCATGAGTTAGTCGCTTCCCAGATGATTCTTTGTGGCATAAACTGCTGCCAGAAAATACCACTAAAATAGACTAATTTATACAAATAAGCACCATGTTACAGTGCTAGGTTTCCATATTCATTTTATGCTTGCCCTGTTTTTCCCTTTGGAAGGAATTTTTTGTGTTGTGAATTGATTGTAAGTTTATTTTCTCACAGTGCCAAACACAGGGAACTTTTACTGATCCTGAATAAGTAGAAGTGTTTAAGGGCTGGCTTGAGGACATAGATGTGGTTCACATGTCATGAAGAAAATTACTAGATGGTTTAACCCAGGAATTCTGGGGATGAGTGGATTACGTGAGTTACATGTTTATCATTCCTGCTTTAAATCAACAGCCCAGGAATGTCCTGTTCCTAGGCTGATTTGTGACATGCAATCACCCAGAGTTGACCCAGGAATTATTCATGGCAAAATAGGCTATTGCTTTAAAAGATCCTTCCTCAGTTAATTTTTAACTTTTACTATTAGAGTCATGAGTTTCTATAGCCAGGGTTTTATAAAGGAAAACAATGGAAATTTTAAGATCCTGACTGGTTGCTCTGTGTCTATTCTAGATTAAGACTATGGGAAAAGATGTAGTAGCCACAGATGCAAAGGAATGTTTCTTTTGAGCTAGAGAGGTGAGGGAGAGATAGACCATTTATTTATTTAAACACCTCATAAAATTTATCCACCTAGGTGCTTCACAGAAGTGTCTACTTCAATTTAC